GTAGAGGGTAACAATAGAACCGTGTCAAAGTTAGAGAAAACAAGATTTAAGACTATACCACCATGCAGCTATGACCACAGCCAATTTTACTTGATTTCATAAACTAAATAGGCTTGAGCCAGATTATTACTTGAATGGAGGACCAAACTTTTTCTGGTAGGACTAGGAAGACATTTTTTCAACCTGAACTGAGAATGTTGGATTACATAGATCAATTGTCTAACTCTGTAATAAACAGCTTCTAAAATTGTTAAGATATGAATGAATGAGTTGTCTCTCTGAGAAATAGCACTGTTTATAAATCACTGCATTTAAGGCCCCTTACACAGCTGTATAAAATCCACATTGAATTGGATTATATGGCAATGTGGACTCAGCGATATAACCCAGAATATCAAGGCAGAAAACCACACAATATCTGCTTTGAACTGGGTTATCTGAGTCCACACTGCCATATATCCCAGTTCAAAGCAGATAATGTGGGATTTTATTCAGCTGTGTGGAAGGGGCTCCAGTTCAAAGCAGATATTGTGGATGATCTGCCTTGATATTCTGGTTATATGTCTGTGTGGAAGGGCCCTAAAACACATAATCATTGGAACCTTTTAAAAATCTGTCAATTAATAAGGTTTAAGGCCATTTCTTCCAAAGGTAAACTAAACGATCCAGATAGGAAGATGTAAGAATGTTTTAGGCCTGGTTTCAAACTATGGATCTTTTTTAATTTAATTTAGATTTTTTTCTTATTCAGACTAGACATTTTTACATACACAATTTCATCATAAGAAGTGTGCCTTCTGAAGTGATAAACAAATGAATGAGAAAGAGCACTAAAATATAGAAGTAATAATTTGAAATCTTTGGGTTTTTTGCTGATTTTAACAGGTGCAAATATATGTTCCCTCATCAAGAAGATCAACAACATTTTTGTGGGATTCTTTAAACGTGATACATTTAAAATGTTTTCTTTTTCCATCGCATCCCAGCAGGACATTTTTTTAAAAAAAAACTACAGCAGAACAGAATAATACCCTTTTTTGATTAAGAACCGAGTCAAAGGTTGAAGTCAACTTGTTGTTTTCTTTAGATTTGAACTTAAAATTACTTCATTTTCTCTCTTCTCCATCAAGGAACTCAGCCCTATTCCTTTATAGGACTCATCCTACAGGACTAATCCAAATGCATTGTTAGGTTAGGTTAGCATTTCTGTGGCTAGAGAAACTGCAAGTTGCTTCTAGTGTGAGAGAATTAGCCATCTGTAAGGATGTTGCCCAGGGGATGCCCAGATGTTTTACCATCCTGTGGGCTGCTTCTCTCCTGTCACCACATGAGAAGCTGGAGCTGACAGATGGGAGCTCACTCCACTCCCTGGATTTGACCTTTTGGTCAGCAGTGCTACCAGCACAAGGGTTTAACCCATTGCACCACCGCAGGCTCCTAGGTTAGCACTGGAATGATATGATTTCCCCTGCTGCACAGAGATAAACCCACAAATGCCTCATTAAAGACATTTTCAATGAAAAGAAGGAGGCATTGGTAATAGACTTAATTTAAAAACTGCCACTCCCACCCAGCATGGAACTCTGTATATGTTTTTGAACTGTTATTTCCATCATCCATGACTAATAATTATACTGATGAAGGCTGGTGGAAGTTGTAATCTGGAAAAGCTTTAAGTTGAGGAATGATATGGTGCACATTGGATATTTAAAGGGCCAAAGTCTCTTTTAAGAGAAAAAAGTGGCATATAAATAAACATAATTAAAATAATAATAATAATAATAATAATACTATCCAATTTATCACTGATCCACTTCTTTGGGCTTCACACAAATCTATCATTTGCCAATCTCTCTCTCTCTCTCTCTCTCTCTCTCTCTCTCTCTCTATATATATATATATATATATATATATATATATATATCCCCCTCAAAGAAGGGAAGGAAAAGCAGTGGTTAAGCTGATGTAAAATTCACTAAGATTCACTTCACTGTCAGTTTTAGTCCTCAATCAATGCAAAACAACAACAGAATGCATTTAAACATGGGTTCCCTTACTGCTACCAAACAAACAATGGAGATGATACCTTTGTTTTGCAACTTTCAATACTGTTCTTGTTCACTTTGTTTGTTTAGATTATTTCTGTATTGCCTTTTAGCCTACAAGGGTTCCCCAAGCGGAAAGCAAACAAAAACACAATTAAAACATTTTAAAAGTCATTCAAATGCTCTTGAAAAGTTCCCAAAGTAGTCTAAAAGCAATCTTAGAATGCTGGTTCTGAAACAGTTAAAGTTCTTGTCTAATTGTGATATTGCATGCATGTGTGTCATCTTGCCTGTGGATTTAGGGCCATTCCACCTTTTCATAGGGTTTTTTAAAGGGAAGGAATAGTTAGAAGTGATTTTGCCAGTTCCTTCCCCTGAAATATAGCCTATAGCACCTGTTATTCATTGACAGTCTCCCATCCATGTGTTTACTAAGGCTGACCCAGATGGGACAAGATCTGCTGCCTTCAGGGAATATTTAGGGTCCAGTAATGGTGGAAATAGTATACAATTACTCCTGCCTAAAATTATCTGAGGTTTTTTTAAATCAGTTCCTTCCCAAAGGCTCACTCAAGATACAAACGGAATGGTTTGAAATACAAAAATAAATAAAGAAACAGTACAGCAAGTAAACATCAAGTATCTGAACCTAGTATAACTCAATTTAGCCTGGAGAATCTTTAAATAGATTTCACCTGCTTTATTCTGTAAGCAATGGCAAAACTTTGGTTCTTCCAAAACTATTAAAGTAATAAATACCAAAGTACAACTTATGATATAGTATAAATTGTTATGTAATACTAATAGTATAATATACTGGCAATGTATTATATATATTGTGGTATAATAATATAGTACAGTATAATAATATTTAATCATATAATATGTGTATATTACCTATTACATGTAACATATTACTAATAATATTGCAGTATAGTGGTATAGTACAAAAGTGTAATATATCATACTAATATTGTGCTATGCTAATAATATAATATATTGTATATACATGTATTGATAACAATATGATATAATAATACTATAATAATATGATATAATTATATATTTATATTACATGTAATATTACTAATAATATTACAATATAATGGTATAGGACAAAATACGAATATTTAATACTGATAGTGTACTATGCTAATAATATAATATATTGTATGTAAATATGCCCCCGGTGGCGCAGTGGGTTAAAGCACTAAGCTGCTGAGCTTGTTGATCGAAAGGTCACAGTTTCGATTCCGGGGAGCGGCGTGAGCTTCCGCTGTCATCCTTAGCTTCTGCCAACCTAGCAGTTCGAAAACATTCAAAAAAATGTGAGTAGATCAATAGGTACCGCTCCAACGGGAAGGTAACGGCGCTCCATGCAGTCATGCCGGCCACATGAACTTGGAGGTGTCTACGGACAACGCCAGCTCTTTGGCTTAGAAATGGAGATGAGCACCACACCCCAGAGTCAGACATGACTGGACTTAATGTCAGAGGACAACCTTTACCTTTTATGTAAATATATCTTGTAAGCCAGTCTGAGTCCCCTTCGGGGTGAGAAGGGCGGCATATAAATGTCATAAATAAATAAATAAATAAATAACGTAATATAATATAATATGGAATAATAATATTGTAATATAGTAATACTAATATAATAAATATAATTACTACTGATTAATTGAGCCCTCGGTGGCGCAGTGGGTTAAACCTGTTAGCCAAAAGGTCACAGGCTCAAATTCGGGGAGTGGTGTGAGCTTCTGTTGTCAGCCCCAGCTTCTGCCAACCTAGAAGTTTGAAAACTTGCAAATGTGAGTAGATCAATAGGTACCACTGCTGGCCACATGACCTTGGAGGTGTCTACAGACAATGCCAGCACTTTGGCTTAGAAATGGAGATGTGCACCAACCCCCAGAGTCGGACATGACTGGACTTAACGTGAGGGGAAAACCTTTACCTTTACCTACTACTGATAATATAGGATGACATACTATTTTATTATTGTATAATTGTCTATTCTGAGTCATAATGTTTTTGTTGAGGAGCAGCTTCGAGTCTCCATATGGAGAGATAAAGCAGGATATAAATAAATATACCCATTTATTTATTCTCACAGTGTTGCTGAAAAAGAAAAAAAAACCCTACTCCACTAAGTAGTCTGTCTGAATCTCTATATTCCACTATTTTCAGTGAGTAGGGGGCATGTAAAGAGGCTGTTTTAAACTTTTTCAAACCACACTGTCCTGTCATGCATTTTTGGAAGTTTTAAAAAATCCTTTAACCTTTTGAAATGTGTTGGCGCCCAATGTTCATACCTTTTGAACGCTCTGGCAATTTTTATCCCAAGCCTCCTTCCAATCTATAAATATCTAATGATGTTCAAGTCGCCTGTTGACTTCTGGTGACCTCATCGATTTCAGAGGATCTTCTTAAGCAAGGGAGACTCAAGAGGGGGGGCTTGGCCAGCCCCTTCCTCTGAAATATAGCTCACAGGGCACCAATTCTTCACTGACAGCCTCTCATCTTATTGTTGTTGTTGTTGTTATTAGAAACAAAACAAGATGAGTCCACAGCAGACAAGATCACTATTATTATGATTAGTTTTCAATACTGGAAACCAATAACAATCCAGACAGAAGACGGGGCTCTGTCCCCTACCTTAGCTATAAAGAGAGCTCATTCCTTTCAGGAAGCCATTGCGAAACAAGACACTGAGCATGTGCAGAGTGCATTTTCCCCCCCGACTCTGGCCCTCCCACATTTCTTAAGGGCTTCCTTTGCTCTGGGGCGCCGGTTAGAGGTAGGATCCTTCCAGACACATCCTTTCCCAAATTTAGGAAGGGGAAGAAGTCTTAGGGGGAGTCACTTGATGGCGGTGGCTAAACCGTGCTTGACCAGGGTCGAGAGGAGGGAAATCCCAGGCACGATTAGAGCGAAGGGTCTTATTGTACTCACCACGTTGCTTTGAAAGAGAAGGTGGTCAGGCTCAGGCTCTGGCTCTTCTTCGGGTCCAGGGGGGCGGCTGCTTGTCCGCCGGCCGGCTATAAATACCCTCCCCGGCGCGCCTCCCTCCGGCCTCCCAAGGGCTTCCCTCGCTCGCTTCTCAAAGTGGCAGAAGCGGCGGCGAGTAGACCGGGGTAGACTCTCTTCTCCAAGCGAGTAGACCGGGCTGCGACAGGGAGGCCGGTTCCGACTGGAATGCCCGGCTCCCGCAGGCGGACGCGGCGGCGGCGGCAGCGGAGGAGGGTGGCTGCTCTCCGTCTCCCGCCCGCCTGCTTCCCTGCCAGCCTTCCCTGGAACAGGCCTCGGTGGAGAAGCAAAGGGGAGGACGGCTCCAAGCCTTGTTTGTGTCAACAGACTTCGATTTTCGGAGGCTCCAGGCATGGGAGACCTCCAAGTCCCCTTCCCAGCCACAGCCCCGCTCAGGTCTTGCAGGCTCATCAGGGCCATGGCCTCCTGGATGCTGGGAATAGAATGGGAACACAGGAAGGTGGCACCCCAGATGGGAGAATGAGGGCCCTTCAGGCAGAACATCCCACAATATCTTCTTTCACACAGCCCTATATCCCAGAACATCAAGGCAGAAAATCCCACTTAGATAAACCATATCATCTAGATTATCACTGTAGGTAATTCAGATTATCTTCTTTGAACCAGATTGTATGAGTCTACATTGATAATCTCTATTGTATAAAGTGGTGCAGCTACACCCTCTGGCCCCTTCCACACATCTGAATAAAATCCCATATTATCTGCTTTGAACGGGATATATATGGCAGTGTGCACTCAGGTACCCCAGTTCAAAGCAGATGTTGTGGGGTTTTCTGCCTTGATATTCTGGGTTAGATGACTTTTGACCCTTTCACACAGCCCTGTATCCCAGAATAACAAGGCAGAAAATCCCACATTATCTGATTGTGGACTCAAGGCCCTTGCACAAAGCCCTATATCCCAGTTCTGCTTTGAACTGGGTTGAGTCCAGACTCAGATAACCCAGTTCAAAGCAGAACTGAGATATAGAGCCTTGTGGAAGGCAACCCAGTGATTCCAGCCATGAAAGCCTTTGACAACACATCTTCATTCATATTTTGCAATGTAAAAAGTTGCAAGCACATCTAACTGAATAAATAATAATTAAAAGTGTGTGTGTGTTAAGAATCCTAAAACCTCTCTCTCTCTCTCTGTGTCTGTCTGTCTGTCTATCTATCCATCTATCTTTAGCTTTGAATGGCTGTGGTGTTTGCCTTGCTATCTGTGCCCCTGTTTGGATGATTTCATCCATCCCTGTGATAACTGGAGTCTGAAAAATTGGGCTTGTTGTGGAAACAAGGATTGGTTATAAAACTTCAGTGGAGACCACTTTTCCCCATGATAACTCAGGAGTGAATTTCCCTTCCTGGGGGTAGATTTCCCTCACTTCCTGTTGTCTCACCCCCGTTCTTAACTATGAGTCATTTGTAAATCGGATGTTTGAAACTGGATCTTCCTAACTTTAGTTTTCAATCTGGCAGGTTCATTTGCTCTCTCCAAAGGACAGCAGGGTCTCAAGCCATGAGGTCAATGAGGATCTGGAATAATGCAGGCATACAATATGCATGACCATCGTAAACAAGATTACTTTCCTGCTTTTCATAGTTGTCAAAGGTCAATTGCACCCTTCATATCCATCTAACCCTCTCTCTCCTTCCCAAGGGATTACACACCTGATTATCATTTTTTAGCAGGATTTAGCATGTGGGGAATGTATTTGGTCAAAAGAGCCGAGGGCTCATCCACACCAGGCAGTTTAGCTCAATATAAATGTGCCCCATTTACATTGGGCCTTCGATCAGCATTTACAGCAAATAAGCCTGATATATGCCAGTCTTCTCCAACCTGATGTCTTCCAGATGAGTTGGACAATTGCCATAATCTTCAGACAGCATATTTAAAGAAAGTGATGGTTGTGGGTGATGGAAACTGTCATCCAAAGGTCTAGAGGTGCCAAGTTGGGAAAGTGTACTATATGCCATCAACATTGTTGGGGTTGGGGCTGAAATAATCCAGATCCCTCTCCCTCTCTCTCTATATATTTGTAGACTCTCCCTTGTTTTCATTCTTATATCACACTGAAATAAAGAGATTGTGTGAGATTGTATTTCTTTGTCCAATCGGAGCATTAAAAGGTCACAGGAATCTCCTAAAATATATCCTTAGTTGACTTCCAAAATGTTCGCAGCTGTTGATGTTGCAGGCAAGCTTCACCTACATCAGCCCTGTAATTTTACCCTCTGTACAGAGTTTTCTCTGTTCATCTCTATATCCTGTCATTATGGCTAGCTTTTATATTTGTCCATTGAACTGTACCACGATGGTGTAATTTACAGGATGGGGAAAAAAGAAAGCAAATGGCTGGGGGAAAGCTTTAGGTCATAGTTGCATTTTCTCTTTGACCAGATAGAAAGGAAAGATCTGTATTGAGCATGGATTTAGCGAGTCATATTTTTCTAGAGCAGCAAAACAACCCATCAGACAACGCTGAGTATATAAATGGTTATATACAGACCAACTGCTGAATTGTAAGAACACCAAGAGTGAAGGGTTTTACCCGCAGTTTTCTTTTTTTGCATGAGATCAGTGGAAGCGTATGGCATTTTGTATGTTTTAGTAATATATAGATTCTTTATACATAAACATATCACTTTAACATGGATGGGGCTTCTTCTCAGCTTAAACTTTAAAATGACAGCTTTGTTGTTGTGTACTTTCAAGTCATTTCCAGTCTATAGTGATCCTAAGGCAAGCTTATCATGGGGTGTATTTTCATAGATGCTACCTTAGTGCATTTCTTAGGAGGGGGAAAGAAGCAGAGGGAAGAGTGCTATCGTTTCAGATATCTGCTAACTATAAAAACCATTGACCTAGACTCTTCACTGATGTAAAGATATGAGTTCTCACAATACAATGTGTGCCCCATATTTGTGGAGGGAAACATTAACCATAGTTAACAGTAAATCCCATTGAAACAAAGACAAAGAATACCATAGCTGCACTGGAGGACCTTAGAAAAGGATGGGAAAGGCCGTATTTTGTCAGAAGTGTATAAATGAAATGTAAGGCTTAGGTCCCATTGATACTGGAATCATACTGTATACATCAGAGGGTTTTGCTGGTTTTTATTACTTCCATTACTATGTATTCTATTTATTTGCAGTGATTTCACAGGGTTTTCAAAAAAGATGTGGATGGGCTTGCTAAGATGGTCCTGTACTAAGCATGCTCTCTAAAATAATTTTAAAGTATTTTTCTAGCACTATAATATTGTAGTGCAAAAGTGCCATTTTGATTTAAGCAAAACAGGAGGGAGGGCAGTTGAGACTTTTGTTTGGTTCCCATTTCATTATCTGGGAATAATCAAGAAATAGCTTTCTAAGATCTACAGAGATACTTACAGGAACAACTCAGCAAGCAAGAGTCCAAAAGTGGCAGGCTAAAACCCGGAGCCTCAATTCATGGCTGATAGTGAACAAGAATCTTTTGTGTGCCCTCCTGGGCAAAAAAAATTGGGTGACATGGAAGGTGCTGAACATAGTGCACTCTGGCACCACGAGATGCAGAACCAACCTTAAGAAATGGGGCCACAAAGTGGAATCCATGACATGCGAGTGTGGGAAAGAGCAAACCACAGACCACCTACTACAATGCAGTCTGAGCCCTGCCACATGCACAATAGAGAGCCTTCTTATAGTGACACTGAAGGCACTCCAAGTGGCCAGCTACTGGTCAAAGGACATTTAGTATAACAGCAAGTTTTTAACTGTGTTTTTAAACACATTACAACTGTACCATCAATTCCCTTCTGACATGATAAATAAATAATTGGGGAATTAAAAAGAGATGCACTTGACAGTGGGAACAATATGTTGTTCCCAGTATCTGGAATTCTCAAAAAAATTCTGGAACAACCGAATCATCATTTTGATAACTAAAGGGGGTGGGGGTGGGGGCAGAAATCTCATAATCGCCTGCAACTTGCCCCAGAGAAGAAATCCCCCCCCCCAAAAGTGTTTTCAAAAGTTTCTCTGAAGGCCCATGTAATTATGTCCTAAGGTTCAACAATATTCTCATCATCCCTCTGTGCTGTTTAACATGTACAATATATAAAACTACCAGGAGACATTTGTTCAAAGTTTTATTATGCAAAGCTATCAGTATGCTGTTGACACACAGCTCTCTTTTTCCTTTTCATCTAATCCAGTCACAGAGTGGGATGACCTTGACAGGTGCTCCGAGTCAGTAATGAATTAGATAGGAGCTAATAAGCTGATCCTCAGTCCAAGAAGAATGAATGCCAGACATTTAAGGAAGAGATGCTCTAGTTGTTTGTTTTTTTATGATTACGGTAGGTGTACTGCTCAAAAAGAAGGAAGAGATGACCTTTTGCATTACAACTCCCAGAAACCATCTTCTTGGCATCTTTGGACATCAAAGTGGCTACCAGATGTGGCACCCTTGATTTGATAGTACATCTCCCATGACATCTGCTTGGCATTCACCAGTAAAGATATGCCTATACAGACTTTGGGTTGAATCATGTGTGCTGCTATACAGTTGTTATTGGGTGTCTTCTAGCCATTTCCTGGCATTGAGGCCAACTTACAAGACCGTTTTCTTGGAAGATATTTTCAGAGAAGGTTTGAAAATGTAACATATTACTCAGTGGCTGAGTAGGGATTCGAACTTGAGTCTCCAGAGTTGCAGACTAATGCTCATACCACAACAGCACATTGGCTCTTGGTTATCATATATGTATATCTCCTTCTAAACCACAACAGAAATAATAATAATAACAACAATAACAACAAAAACTTTATAATACCCCACCACAATCTCCCAGAAGTACTCAGGGGAGATTACAGAAGCACATACAAATGCCATAATGCATAAAAATAAAGATAAAATTACAACGCATATTAAACAATGACATCAGTAAAAACAACCTATTACAAAAAAAATCCAATTTAAAAAGAAACAGTACAAATTGCCATAAAAATGAATAATACAGCATCCCAGTCGCAGCCAATTCAACCAGTGAAAATATTAGATTGTTTAGTCCTTTGATTGGCAGATGTCTTACCCATTTCCAAAGGTCTGCCTGAAGAGCCAAGTTTTCATAGCATAATGGTGTAATGGTCTGAATATTAGGCTAAATAAAACTCTGAGAACCAGCTTTGAATTCCCGTTCAGTCACAATCTCTCAGCCTCAGATGAGTAGTATTCTGTTTTGGTAAGTTTCCTCACTTTTTCCGGTTGGCTGTACGTTTCTGGAACACTTCAGTCTTCTGTAGAAATCTATAATGCTCTGCATTGCTTTCCATAGTTCTTTAGTGTTTTATGGAGATCTTCAGTGCTGTTTGTTACTCTGGAAGTACTGTGGCAGACCTGAAACCAAGTGAAGTAGCTGAGGAATTAGGACCACCAATGTAACCATTTCACACCCTTTGACAACCAGTTCTGACAAAACTAAGATCTCTATTCAAGCAGCAAGAAAAACTGCTGACAATGTAGACTGTCTGTTCTCATACATAGTACGTCCTTTGATCTCAGAATGAAGGAAAACTTCCCATTAAAATTTCCGTATTAGTTGTACAGTTGCCTCTCTTGTAGTAGAAAAAAATCAGCAGACATGGTATGAATTAAAAGCTTCTGTTACCTATGTCATAATTCAATGTTGTTGTTTTTTTTTAAAAAAACTTACACATAATTTAATTTATTAATTACTTGGATCCAGGCTATATGAAGAATTCTTCCCACATAGTGATGAGAATGGGTTTGTTTTATTGTTGTTGTTTTGTTTGTTTGTTTTGAGGAACAATTTTCTCAATGTTGCCACTCTCACATAAGCATTTGGTAAGGATTTAAAGGGCTTCCTCTGTGGTTGCTCTGATGCGATATAGAGGGCTTTCTTGGTGGCTCTTCCAAGGTCTTAGAGTTCCCTCCTGCAGGAAACTAAGCCAACCTCTGCTCTGAGTGCATCTACATTGCAGAATTAATGTATTTTGACACCACTTTAATGGCCATAACAACAACAACAACAACTTTATTTTTGTACCCCGCCTCCATCTCCCCAAAGGAACTCGGGCCACCTTACATAGCGGCAAGCCCGAGATTCAGCGAGGCTGTTAAAGGCTCTTTACAAAGCCCAGAATTCTGCAGGAGGCAGGAGCTGGATTTTAAAAAGGACTCTAGTTGAACAATTGATGGAAAGTATCTCCCAACATTATTGAGAACACAAGGTGCAGTTGCTTCTACCCACGAACATCAAATTTCCTATCTATATACTGAAAATAAATAAAAACAATATTTAAAAAGTTTTTTAACTGTACTTCAATATTAATATCAAGTTAATGCAGAGTGTATGGTATAGTTAGTATAGCATGGTATAGTTGGTATAGCATTAGGCAAGCCTGTTTTAGTAGTAACTCTCAAGCAACCAGAAATGACACTTGTCTACCAATCCTCAAGAGTACCGGTTAACAGGCCCCTTTCACACTGCTATATAAACCAGATTATCAGAGTAGATAATCCACATCACAGTAGATAATCTTCCAACAGACCTCACAACCTCTGAGGATGCTTGCCATAGATGCAGATGAAACGTCAGGAGAGAATGCCTCTAGAACATGGCCATATAGCCCAAAAAGCCTACAACAACCCAGTGATTCCAGCCATGAAAGCCTTCCACAATACATTAAATCCACATCTGCTTTGAACTGGATTATATGAGTCTACACTACCTTATACTCCAGGTCAAAGCAGAAAATCTGTATTTTATATGGCAGTGTAGAAAGGGCCTGAGAGTCTTATTGCTATGGACTCATTCAAACCCTATTTGTTTCTACTGTGAATTGTTTGAGCGCTCCAATGCAACATGCCGACTATCCTTTGATACCAGTAATTACTGTGTATCTCTCAAGGATACTAATGTATATCACATTTTTAAAACACCACTGTAGGCTGATTGATACACATATCCAATCGAAGACACATCTTGCAAGCCTTATGCAATTTGTGGAGGAACAACATAATTCTCACAATCACATGTGGCTCATAACCAGCTTTAACAAATTACGACCTGCCTTGGCAAGACCATAATTTTGCTAATCACTAAGGATTAAACGGGAAATGAGCTTCTTTGGCACAAGATAAAGTGATTCCTTCTATTTTTTTAATATAAAAAATACACTTAATTAAAATCTTTGCACCTCACATATAAAAAGTGATGTTGCTTTTATGCGACTCCTCTACTTTAAAAAGTTGCTGACACTTTTATTTTTATCACTAGCGGAGAAGATTCAACAAACCCAAATAGTACATTTTAAAAACACCAGTGTAAGTGTTTTTGAAACACTTCCACACAGCTGAATAAAATCCCAAATTATATGCTTTGAGCTGGAATATATGGTACTGTGGACTATGCTAATCCCAATTCAGAGCAGATATTGTGGGATTCTCTGCCTTGATATTTTGGGATATAGGGCTACGTGGAAGGGTCCTTGGTGGGATTTATTTTGAAGTGAACAGAAAACTTGGTCCAGCTAAAAAGAACAGACATATTTAGAAATTACTCCCATTAAAATCAAGGAACCGTAATCCTATAATGTCTTCAGGGTAAAATATGATGCGTTGGGTTCAATGAGGCCCCTTCTACACTGCCATATAAAATCCAGGGCCCTTCCACACAGCCCTATATTCCAGAACATGAGGCAGAAAATCCCACATTATCCGAGTGTGGACTCATAACCTACTTCAAAGCAGATATTATGGGATTTCCTGCCTTGATATTCTCCGATATAGGGCTGTGTGAAAGGGCCCCCAGATTATCTGCTTTGAAATGGATTATATGGCAGTGTAGATTCATATAATCTAGTTCAAAACAGATAATCCCACATTATCTGAGTGTGGACTCGGATAATCCAGCTCAAAGCAGATATTGTGGGATTTTTCTGCCTTAATATTCTGGAATATAGGGCTGTGTGGAAGGTCCTGGGTTATCTGAGCCCACACTGCCATATCTTCCACTTGAAAACAGAAAATGTGGGATTTTATTTAGCTGTGTGGAAGGGGCTTTTGTCAACTGCACTGGCTCACTGCGATGGAGTGATGGGAGTTGTAGTTTCCACAAGGTCGTTAGGTTTCTACGCCAAATAAATAGCTCACCAAACTACAAATCCCAGCATCCTGTAGCATTGAGCCAAGGCTGTGTCAAACTGCTATTGTTCTGCAATGGGGATACTCGTGAAACCAAAACAAAAACCACCCAAGTGTCTAAGGGCCCCTTCTACACTGACATATAAAAATCCAGATTTTCTGTTTTGAGGATCTGGATTTTATGGCAGTTTAGATCCAGCCTTTGACCCCTTCTACACTGCCATATAATCCAGATTATCAAAACAGACAATCCGCATTATCTGCTTTGAACTGGATTATGAGTCTATGCTGCCATATAAAATCCAGATTATCTGTTTTGAACTGGATTATGTGGCAGTGTAGACTCATATAATCCACTTCAAAGCCGATAATGCGGATTATGTTTTGAGGATCTAGATTTTATAGCAGTTTAGATCCAGTCTTTGACCCCTTCTACACTGCCATATAACCCAGATTATCAAAACAGACAATCCGCATTATCTGCTTTGAAGTGGATTATATGAGTCTACGATGCCATATAATTCAGATTAGCAAAACAGATAATCCGCATTATTTGCTTTGAACTGGATTATATGAGTCTATGCTGCCATATAAAATCCAGATTATCTGCTTTGAACTGGATTATGTGGCAGTGTAGACTCATATTATCCACTTCAAAGCGGATAATGTGGATTATCTGTTTTGAGGATCTGGATTTTATGGCAGTTTAGATCTAGCCTTGATATTCTGGGATATAGGGCTGTGTGGAAGGGCCCAAAGTGGTGTCAGGCTCCATTCATTCTCCTGTGCGGATGTATAATCCCGGCTCAGAGCCGCCCGGGCCGGAAGAAGCAAAAGGCAAGCGAATCGAGGCGATGATTGGCAGCCGCGCCTCACGTGACGGTCCCGGGCCGTTCTGAGTACCCCCCCCCCCCCCCCCCCCCGCCCTTCTGCCGTTCCTTACCTTGTCCCTCCTCCCCCCGAAGTTGCGAGTCCCAGAGTCGGCGGCCCTTCAGCGTCATGTCTCACCAAACCGGCATCCAAGGTACCTCTCGGGTGGGTCTCCGGGTCCCCCTCCCTCCGCAGTTTGCTCCAGGCTCTTCCTTCTCTCTGCCCTCCCTCCCCCCGGGCCGCTTCCCCATTGGCTCCCCCCGCCTCCCTTTCATTCTCTCTCCCTTTCTTTCCGAAGCCGGCCCGAAATGGACCAAACCATTGTCTGGCGCGGGGGGGGGGGGGTGGAGTAGGAGGAGTGGGAAAACAAACGCTTAGTTAGACCGAACTTCTAAAACTCGCCCCCTCTCTCATATTTAATTATTTTGGATTGTATTTCCTCCGCTTAGAACCCTTGAGAGGGTGCTTCTGAGCATGTACAGAGTGCCTTCCGCAGTTTAGTAACTATAGGGCGCTCTTAGAGTTAGCCATAACTTATAAAAGCCTGGAGAGAAAATGTGGGGGGCCTCTTGGGTACATCCAGATGGGGGAATGAATGCGGTTTGATACTTTCCAGGCTCAAAGCTATAGAAGCCTGGGAGGAGAAGTTTAGAGTGCTTGGACTCTTTGAAAACTGCACCTCCCAGCATGATATCCCAAAAGGCTCCTATAGGAAACATTATCTCCTATTATGTTTTAGTCTATACCTTTTTAATATATTTGTATATTTTAAAACTTTGAGACTGTTTTGTAAATATTTTGTCATGGATGCTTTGTAAATAAAGGTGGATTTAGCTACAATTTCCCTGTGTGTGGTGACTTTTTAAAGGATACACTGTGCATCCATGCTACAGTGTAGACCAGGCATGGGCAAACTTGGCCCCTTCAGGTGTTTGGACTACAACTCCCACCATTCCTAAAAGCCTCAGGCCCTTTCCTTTTCTCCCTCAACAGCTTTTTAGTGCATCCTAAAAAAAAAATCACCATACATAGGGAATTTGTACCTAAATGCACCTATATTTACAAAGCATTCATGGCAAAATATTTACAAAACTGTCTCAAAGTTTTAAAATATATACATATATAAAAAAGATATAGACGTAAGCAACTGAGGAGGAGAAGGAAGGGGCCTGAGGCTGTTAGGAATTGTGAGAGTTGTAGTCCAAACCCCTGGAGGGCCCAAATTTGCCCATGCCTGGTGTAGGTGCACCCATAGAGCTTCCCCCTCCCCCCACTCACACACATTTTCTCTCTTAAGGAAAAGTTATTGCAAATTCTGGAGGCACTGGATCATGTCTGGTTTTGGAAGCTAAGTGGTGTCAACTCTGGTTAGAATGTGGATGGGGAGCCGCCAAGAAAAAGCAGGGGCTGTGAGCTGTATTTCAGAGGAAAGAGCTGGCTAAGCCACTGTTGAGAATTAATTGGCCATGACATGCATGTTGATGCGCGACACAAATGCACACACAACTCCCATATTCACAGCTTATGCAAAACACTGTCTCTTCCTGCTGATCTGAGGATTGATTGAGGTCCAGAGTCCTGGCAGTGGAATTTGCACCCAAACACGGCTTTCCTTCAAAGGCCGTACGTTAGAAGTGACTTGATGGTACACAACAGCAAAAATACAGTACACACCCAGAGTTTGCATGGGCAAACTTTGGCCCTCCAAGTGTTTTGGACTCCAGCTCCCACAATTCATAACAGCTGGTAGGAATTTGCACCCAAACCCGGCTTTCCTTCAAATGCCATAAGTCAGAAATGACTTGGTGATACACAACAACAAACAAATACAGTACAGACAGAGAGAGTGTATCTACACTACGCATGGGCAAACTTCAGTCCTCCAGGTGTTTTGGACTTCAGCTCCCACAATTTCTAACAGCTGGTAGGAATTTGCACCCAAATCTGGCTTTTTTTTCAAAGGCCATAAGTCAGAAATGACTTAATGGCACACAAGAACAAACAAATACAGTACACAAATAGAGTGCATGTACACTAGGCATGGGCAAACTTCGGCCCTCCGGGTGTTTTGAACTTCAGCTCCCACAATTCCTATCAGCCAAAACACCTGGAGGGCCAAAATTTGTCCATGCCCGATCGACACTGTGGAATGAGTGCAGCTCAACCCCACTTTGACTGCTACGGATCAGTATTGTGCAATACTGTGAAATCATTGGAGTCGTAGCTTCATTATGTCTTTGAGCTTTATCTGCCAAAGAGTGCTGGTGCCTCACCAAACTATAGCTGCATCTTCACTTTAGAATCAGTGCAATATGATACCACTTTAACTACCATGGTTGAATGCAATGAAATCCTAGAAGGCACCAGCACTCTTTGACAGAGAAGGTTAAAGGTCTTGTAAAACTACAATTCCACTGCTTCCTTAGCACTGAGCCTTGGTACTTCAAGTGGGGTCAAACTGTGTTAATTCTATAGTGAAGATGCAACCTTCACCTGCCATGATTCCATAGCAGTGAGTCACAGCTGTGGTGTCAAACTGCATTCATTCTACAGTACAGATGCCTCCCAAGCCTTACTTTTGTTGCATTCCTTACCCTATATGGGGACTGAGCCACTGGAACCTCCTCTTCCTCCTTTGTTTGGATGGGAAGGATAGCCCATTATGGGATTTACATCTTTGTGAGAATTAAGGGCCTAAATACACTCAAGGCACCTTCTAGGAAGCTAAGCAGGTCCAACTCTGGTTAGTTTTTGAATGGGAGACTGCAAATGAATACCACTACAGGTGCTGTAAGTTATACAACATTACAGAAGACTCATGCTATTCTGTGCATGCTGGCCTGACATAAGTCGCTCTTTGTTCAGAAGGCTTTATTGGTAGTTCTTTAACATTTATCTACCTTTGGTCTTTATAAAAAGAGCCTAAATACCCTAAAAGGCACCAGATCCTATCTGATCTTGGAAACTAAGCAGGTCCAGCCTTGGTTAGTCCTTGGATGGGAGACCAGTAATAAATACCAGGTGCTGTAGGTTATATTTCTGAACAAGGAAACTATCCAAGCCATCTCTGAATATTCCTTGCATAAGAAAACCATATAAAATTCTGCAGAAGGGACATAATATGTGTCCAAATAGATACACAACCTGTACTTTTGGTCACTCAGAGGTTCATATAATTCAATCTGGGGGCTTCATTATTCCTGCCCTTTTATTCAGCACCTTCTGCAAGTTACAACAGACAGAGAATAAAAATAATACCCAAATATATGTATCTTTTAGCATCCAAGATCAGTTGTGTTTAAAAGCCACTATTTGTTTAGGTTTGATAAAGAGTTCTAAAGCCCCTTCCACACAGCTGATTAAAATGCCAGATTTTCCAAATTGGAATATATGGCAGTGTGGACTCAGATAACCTAGTGAGGAAGATAATATAAATGGTTAGGATATTATGGAATGTGGATGTGTTTTCAGCTCTATACTGACTTCTTTGAAAACAGTCTGAATATCATGGGTGTATGTAGTGAAACAGCATCCACTCATGAACTTCTTTGAAGGAGAGAAGGAACATCCAGTACCAATTCAAAAAAGCTCTGGTAAAAGGTGTTGAGGGGAAAATCAGTTTCCCGAATCCATTCACTAGCTCCAGTTACAGCTGTTTCCGTTACAACAGCATTCAAGTCAACTTTGACTTATGGAGACCCTTTGAAGGAGAGACCTCCGAGTCACCCTTTCATCGACAAACTTGCTCAGGTCTTGCAGACTCAGGGCTTCCTTGATTGAATCTATCCATCTGGAATGCAGTCTTCCCATTTTCCTGTTGTCTTCTGCCTTACCAAGCATTATTGTCTTTTCTAGTGAGTCACAGGAGACCCATCAAATCAATAGTTGAAATGGAGCCAAGACTAGTGTAAAACCTATTAGTACAATAGGTTTTCTTCCACTGAGACTGTTCCTAGCTTTATAGACCCAGGTGGGCTGAGTCAGAACAAGAAACTCAACAGCTCATATGACTCATTCATTTATTCAGTTGGCAACCCAGGGTGCATCTACATGGTCAAATTGATGCAGTTAGAGCTTCCGTGGCTTAAAGCTATGGAAGCACAGGAGTTGTAGTTTTATGAGGTCTTTAGCCTTCTCTGCCAAACAATTCTAGTACCTTATCAAACTACAGCTCTCAGATTCCACAGCACTAAACCATTGCTGTTAGAGTGTTGTCAAGCTGCATTATTTGACATTGCAGATGTATACTCAGTAATGAGAAAAGCTCAAATTCCCTGCTTGTTTCACATATACCATATGTACCTGAGTATAAGCCAACCCGAATATAAGCCAAGGCACTGAATTTTACCACAGAAAACTGGAAAAACCGGTTGACTTGAGTATAAGCCAAGGATTGGAAATGCCACAGCTACTGATAAATTTCCAAATAAAAATAGATACCAATACAATTATACTAATTCAGGTATCATTAGGTTAAATGTTTTTGAATATTTGCATAAAACTGTAAGACAGCCCAACTCTGATTAAGCCATTATTCTGACCTTCTTCAGTGTAAATGTGCTTATATATCCTTCCAATAATATAGAGTAAAATAATGGAAATGTAATAATAACAGTAATCTATATAAATAAAAATGTAATGTTCGTTTGTGGGATTAACATAACTCAAAAACCACTTGATCAATTGATACCAAATTTGGACACAATATGTCTGTTAGGCCAATGACTGACCATCACTCATAAAAACACTGAAAAACACAGCAGAAGAGACTTAAAAAGCAAAAAAAATTACATTACAATTAGTGCGTAAAACCACATAGATATACATATACATAAATATACACACAAAGCACATATACACAGACTGGGCCACAGCAATGCGTGGCAGGGGGTGGCTAGTAATAGAGTAAAATAATAAATGTAATAATAACAACAGTAATAAAGTAAAATAATAATAGAGTAAAATGATAAATGTAATAATAATAATAAGAAGAATATAATAATAAATGTAATAATAATAATAATAATAATAATAATAATAACCTTGACTCGAGTATAAGCCGAGGAGGACTTTTTCAGACTAAAAAAAGGCCTGAAAACCCGGCTTATACTCGGGTATATAAATAACTAATTTTAGGATCTCAGACAAAACAACATGGT